TCTGTATATTCTATTGTGTGTTTACCACCCAAAGTCCAGTTTCCTTCGGCTACCATATATTTGATCCCATTTACCCCATCTACCTACCCCCTCCTCCCCCAACCCCTACCCTTTGGTAACCACGAGTCTATAGTCCATGTCCATGACTCTCTGTTTGTCTTGTTCATTTGTTGCTTTTAGGTTTATATCCCACATATAAGTGATATCATGTGATTTTCAATTTTTTCTGTCTGGCTTATTTCGCAAGCTGTACATTTAACAGTCAATCCAAAGGAGGGGTTTTTAAGTTAAAGGAAAATCTAGTAAATCTCAAAGAACAAAATTTCTTTGAGGAAGGAACTCTAAATTTCAAATAAAATAGATCACATTCAAAATGTGCCTCTGTGACTCTATCTCATGTCACTCTGTCCCTAAGTCAGAACAGTCTAGCCACACTAATCCCTTCCTTCCTCAAACATGCCAAACTCCCTTGTGTCTAAAGACCTGTGGCTTAGCCATATGTTTTGCTCAAAGATGCTCTTCCCTCAGATAATTCCATGCCTGGCTGTTTTCATTCATACCTCAACACTCAAAGTTGCCGTTTGAGGAAGGCTTTCCCTGATACACCCTCTTCAGGACCCCACCTCTTACAGCGACTCCCTATGACCTTAAGCTGTTATTTCAGAGCACTCATAAGCAAATGAAACTGTTTTGTTTACTAATTTATTGCCCATCTCCTTTATCAAGAATATAAGATCTCTGACTATAGGGCTCTTATCCATCTTGTTCATGGATGCCCCCTGACCTCCTATGACAACGCCTAGCCAAAACAGGGACTCAATAAAGGACTTTGAATACCTGAAATATGTACATTTAGAAGGCGTACATATTGTACATATGTACATTTGGAATGTGTCCCTACATTATATTTGCAAATGCAAATACCACATGGCTCAGATGGCTACTAAAAGCAGAGGGACTTACAGAAAAACTAGAGATCACTTGAACTGATCTAAAGGAGGCAGCTGTTCTTCAGCTTGAACTATTGTCACCAGGGTACAGTGTGGATCTAGTGTGGTCATTATTACTGGGATGCCAAATGGATAAGATGACATCCATTTTTTTTTATTCCTTCAATTGTAACTGTTAGCAACCAATTTGAAAAATTAAAATAGCATGTGAATCACCAGTTTTCAAGCTCTCATACAGCTGAGACCATTCAGAGATTAGTTAAGAGACGCTGAAAAAAGATGCTGGGAAGATTGTACCCTATTGCATTGTTTTTAATGGTGAAAAATGGGAAACATCTAAATATCCATCACTACGGGAAGTCCCAAATGATTTGTGGCAAACTTATTTGATAGAATATGATATAGTTAAAACAAAGTAATAGTGAAAGTATACTAAACCTAGATAACTAAGATGCATACCAAAATTAATATAGTCGTTGCCTCAAATAAAAGAAGTAGAGTAGCAGTGGGAATCGGTCGCACCTGCATTTGTAATGTTCTATTTCTTCCATTCAAAAACATAAAATAACAAAACGTAATATACATTCGGTTTGGATATGGGTACATGAGTGTTTACTCTTTTTTTTTTTTTTAAACTTTCAGAATTTTAAAATATGGAGGGTGGTGGTAGTAGACAAAACATCCTATACTAGAAGCCAGGATAATTGGGCTCGTCTTTGTTCTGCCTCTTTGGCAGTGGTATAATCTCTGGATTCCGTTTCCTGTTTCCTCAAAATTCCCGCAAAAGCGGGAAAAGTGTGTGGTACTTTCCAGAGTGTTGTACATATGTACTTTTGGAATGTGTCCCTACATTATATTTGCAAATGCAAATACCACATGGCTCAGATGGCTACTAAAAGCAGAGGGACTTACAGAAAAACTAGAGATCACTTGAACTGATCTAAAGGAGGCAGCTGTTCTTCAGCTTGAACTATTGTCACCAGGGTACAGTGTGGATCTAGTGTGGTCATTATTACTGGGATGCCAAATGGATAAGATGACATCCATTTTTTTTTATTCCTTCAATTGTAACTGTTAGCAACCAATTTGAAAAATTAAAATAGCATGTGAATCACCAGTTTCCAAGCTCTCATACAGCTGAGACCATTCAGAGATTAGTTAAGAGACGCTGAAAAAAGATGCTGGGAAGATTGTACCCTATTGCATTGTTTTTAATGGTGAAAAATGGGAAACATCTAAATATCCATCACTACGGGAAGTCCCAAATGATTTGTGGCAAACTTATTTGATAGAATATGATATAGTTAAAACAAAGTAATAGTGAAAGTATACTAAACCTAGATAACTAAGATGCATACCAAAATTAATATAGTCGTTGCCTCAAATAAAAGAAGTAGAGTAGCAGTGGGAATCGGTCGCACCTGCATTTGTAATGTTCTATTTCTTCCATTCAAAAACATAAAATAACAAAACGTAATATACATTCGGTTTGGATATGGGTACATGAGTGTTTACTCTTTTTTTTTTTTTTTTAAACTTTCAGAATTTTAAAATATGGAGGGTGGTGGTAGTAGACAAAACATCCTATACTAGAAGCCAGGATAATTGGGCTCGTCTTTGTTCTGCCTCTTTGGCAGTGGTATAATCTCTGGATTCCGTTTCCTGTTTCCTCAAAATTCCCGCAAAAGCGGGAAAAGTGTGTGGTACTTTCCAGAGTGTCTTCAATTAATGGTCTATGAACTTAAAACCTCCCCACTCCCAACCCCCGCACAGGGAAGCCTATCCAAACTAGAGAATGAAATAGATTTCACCTCTCATTTAGGATAGTTCCATCTCTCTCAATCCGCGATCCCTTCTCCAGAGGCAGTACATGACAGAGAGGCATGATTTATTAGCCTTTCTAAGTGTTAGAATCCTCTTTTCTAAAACGGAGATTACAACACTAACAAAATTGTAGTGAAGTGTAGAGATAACATATGTCTAATGCCTAAACAGAGTAGCTAGTAGTAGTAGTAGTGATAGAATCGCATTTAGGTTCTAATTAGGCTCAGCATCCAGGCTGCAACAGAATCCCCATTTTTCACGCTGCCTTCAAAACCAAAATTGCTTTACCTTGCCCGGCGATGTATTGGAAACAATCCAGAATGGTTGCTATGGCGACACTCTGGTTCCGCCTCCGGGCCTGCTCGAATAGCACGCTGGGACTTGTAGTGCGTAGGAGCTGACACTCACCGAGGGGCCGGACAGCTTCCGGAAAGGTACTGTAGTTTTCGTTCCTGCCGCCAATGCCACCCTTTATCCTTCCCTGCTTTGGGGCCACACAACCCAAAATAAAAACCCAGCCAGGGGATCCTCCTTTCTGCACCTCCCAAAAGTACGGCTGAAGGCAGGCCGGGGGGAGTAATGCGGTGTCGAGGGCGGAGACCCGTGCGGCACTCGTGGGGCAAGAACAGACTGGGCTCGGGCCTGGAGCACGGAGGCACTACCTCCTTACGTCACATCCGTAAACAAAGGGAGCTGTGGAGGCGCGGAGTCCAGGATGTGACCCCGGCTCAAGCTGCCGCAGTAGCGTCGGCGGCTGCAGCTGCGGCAGTAACTTCGGAGGCCTCCAGGTGTTTGCAGGTTGAGGAAGAGGACCCCGATCACGTCCTTCCTCAGGTATGAAGTGTAAGCAAAGGCGCCCCCGCAATGCCCCCTTTAGGCCCCTCCCACCACCCTTTCTGGCCACTGCTGGACTCTGGGCGGTGAAGGGTACGCGGATTGGAGAAGGGAAGTGAGATGAAGTGTACAGAGACTCCGAGGGGTCCCGCATGGAGGCCGTGGGTTCCTGGCTCTCAAAACTAATGTGTGAGTAAACTACGAGCTGTTTACGAAGGCTTTCTCTAAATGACTCCTTGCTGCTTGGTATACAAGGATTTCAGGGCTCTTGTGACACAGTTGTTACCTTCCAAAAACAGATAAATTTCGAGCCCCTCAGAACATCTTAGTTTAGACCACTATTGGTTAATTTCCTTTGCTTTACTTCCTAAGTTTATTTTTCTTGTATCACCAACTGCGTATTAGCATTAAATTCGAAGGCCAGTGTGTCTGTGCATCATAAATTTATACAGATCCTTTCCTCTCTGGAGAACTGATAGCCCATTGTCTCTATTCAGATTTTTTAAGGTTCTATTTGATTTGTGTTGTATGCTGAAACAATCCCAAAATGTCTGTTCTGTTACTAAAAGTGATTCTTAAAGGAAAAATTTTAGCCAAAATAAAAAGGGATACACTCTTTGTCTGCGATTAGAAACTGCGTGTTAGAGTCTTTCCTTTAAAAACCTTTGCTGCTTTGGAGGTATCATAGCTCCAATTGTCTAGAGTCAACTGGAGCCAACTAAGCTTAATGCTTTAAATTACAGTGCTTCGTGGCACCAATTCCAGACAATGACAAAACATCTGTTTTCATTAAAATTATCAGGTAATTATTTTAGGAGTGACATCAGTGAATTTGAATCTTTTTGAATAGTCATAACATGATTAAATCCAATACAGCATACTGAAAAAGGCCTAATGCTTCTAAGGCACTTTACAATATGAGGTATATAGCCATATAAATTTCTCATTATAAATGAAATAGTATAATTAGTATTATGCATAAATGAAAAGGACATGTAGGGGGATATTTTTAGGTGGATGACTATTAGGGAAATACAGCTGGTTAATACTTAAAGTAAGGGAAAAGTATTGGATAAATGGAAGGCCTTACATATATTCTTTATGGAACTCCACAGTATAACTTTTTTTTTTGATATTAACAAAACTAAACATGTATAATAAAGTTTCATGTTTCTTGTGGAAATAGGTAGAGAAAGTATTTTGAAAATAGTCATGAAACAAGGTTAATTTCACGGAACTTCTCTTGATCAAGGAACCAGAATCAATATTATTCCTAGGCAGACTCAGAGTTTCCGCTTGGCAGTTGAAATAAGGTTTCAAGTCACTAGCTAAGATGCAGATACCCCTGTCAATTATACATCTATTTGAATCTAATTGGTTCTTCTAAGAATATATTTTAGAAGGGAGACCTAAAGGCCACCTGAAGCTTGAGTCACGCTGGGAAGATCACGTGACTGTTTTCTTTATTTTTATGTATTGTTCCCCTTCAATAATGTAGGCTTCTTGAAGGCAGGGACCTAGTCTTGTTCAGTACCATCTCTCCAGTGCCCAGAATAGTGCTTGGCAGGTGGAAGATCGTTAACATCTGTGGGAGGAGTGAATAAAGAAAAAGGTGAAAAAAAAATTTGTTTGACAATTTTGCTTAGGGCTTATATGTAAAGAGCACGGTAGATTAAATTTAAGGCATCTTTATTCTAGCTTTCTCTAAAGACCTGAAAATCTTGAACCTCTTTCATTTTGGCATATCAAAGCATGCATGTATAATTTTGCTCTCTTTCCTTAGGTCATAAGAAGCTGGCCTTGCTGCAATAAGGACCTTAAAACAATGTTTTTTGAAAGTGAAGAGGAGGAGTCCTAAGTCTTTTAGTGCCCACTCTACTCAGGTTGTTAATGCCAAAAAAAATGCCATTCCAGTTAGTAAAAGCACAGGGTTTTCAAACCCTGCATCACAGTCAACTTCACAGCGACCAAAGTTAAAAAGGTGAAATTTTTCTTTCATATTATCACAGCAAAATGCTGTTAAATACTAAATCCTGTAAATCTTACAACATTTTTTTCTCTTGGCTTGACTTTTAAAACAGTTGAGGCACATGTTATATATGATTTAGAAAAAAATTTCTGGAAGTTATAGTATATGTATAAAGATTAGAAAATGCAAAATGAATGATGGTTTGAAGGCCCTTACTTTGTTTACAAGTTTTCAGAGCATGAAAACTTGTAAACAAAATTGGTGAGCTAGCCAGAAATGGAATAAAAGATATACGAGTATTTTTTTTTTAACTAAGTTGAGTATTTGTGCTTCGATAGTTTTTATTTTTAAAAAAGAGTGGTTTCACTGTTTTTGTAGAAATGATTGTATGTATCGTAAAAATTTAAACACAGGAAACAGTCAAAGGAAAAACTTAAAACACTAAAATTTCACCACCTTGAAGTAATAATAAATATTTGGTGAACATCATTTGTCTTCAGATGCTGAAGGAAACAGGATTGACAAGTTTAAATATGTTATATATTACTGCTACATATATGTATTTCATAGTATTAGATATTTGGAAAGAAAGATGATATCTTTAGAGAAAACAACCTTTCGTGATCTCAACCCTCTATTATCAAATAAATTTACTTCTACTTGCAAGTTCATCATGGAGAGTCCTTAAAGGAAGTAATGCTGTAGCACTCTGTACCCATTGGATTTATACAAAAGAAAAGATGAAATTCCTGCCTCGATGATGATCTCACATTCTCTCTGAAGAAATAAAAGAGACATAGTCAAAGACACTTGGAAAAGAGATTTCCAATAAGGACTAAATGATAAACTGTAAGAGTTATGATGGTTTTCTTTGAATAAATTATTGGATTGGAAAGGGCAGTGTTTAACTTAGAGTCAGATTTTTAATATGGTTATGGTTGGTAAAAAAAGAAAGCCAAGGTAATCACTCCTTTTTCTAAATTCTTACAGCAGTTTATTTATATCTCATTGTCACCTTCCACTTTGTACTTTTCTTTCTCTACCTTCTTCTAAAATGTAGGCTTCCTGAGGTCTGGGACTACATCGATCATCCTTAGGTGTCACACAGTACTTATAGTGGAGCTTTGTACCTAGTATAATTTCGATGAGTGCTTTTTTTATTGTTGAATCATTTTAATATAAAGTGAGACAATGTGACATGATCAAAAACACTAACGTGGGAATAAACAGATTTTTGTTTTCTTTTTTGAGAGGATTGCTAAATGATGAACGGATGCAAAACACTTACTTGGATAAAACTTCTAATTTGAAAGAAAAGATTTACATTTGCTGCACTAAAACTTTGTAGTCTATAGTAATTTATCTCGGATTTTAATATGAATATGGATCTCTTGGGGATCTTTTTAAAATGTAGATTCCAAATCAGTTAGTTTGGGGTAGGGCTTCAGATAAGCATTTGTAATAAGCTTACAGGTGATGTTGATGCTATGGATCTTGGACAGCACTTCGAGTGGCAAGGTACTAAAGAGTGATATCAAATCTAATATGTATATAAGATACAGATCTTAACTTTGTGAAAAACTGTTACTGACCTACTCTTAACAGCTTATGTGTTCTAAGTAGATTTCTTGTTAAGGTTATGAGTTTCTTTCTTGCTGCCCCCTCCCCTGCACCCATCATATACCCTATTCCTCTTATCCTTATTGTGGTGAGTACACTTGTGGGAAAGATGTCTTCATGCAACGTAATGAATTAATTGAGTACCAAATATATGTGTATGTCAGGGTCTGTAGTACACATTGGGGTTATACAGATAACACAACCCCTTCTCCCTTTTTTTATGGTGAACGCCTACTTATTCTTTAAGGCTTCACTCATATCACCTTTAGGAAGTTTTCTCTGGCTGCCTCTAGGTTGAGTAAACTGCTCTTTCTTTGTTTTCATACCACGGTGTGTATAGTACTATCACTTAAGTGTTTGATGGCCTGGTATATGCCAGATATGTGTAATGAGAACCAGTCTAGGTTAGGAGTTCCAAAAAGGCCTTCCTGAGGAAATAGCAAGTAAACTGAGACTTGAAGGATATGTGGGAGGTAGCCTGGCAAAGATGGCAATGAGGAGAAGGATGCTAATGTAAGCAGAGGATTAGCATGTAAGTAGATAAGAGAATGGATTTCTAAGAAGTGAAAGATTCAGAATGTCTAGAGCATAGACAAAGGAAGATGGGGTTCCTTAAGGATATTGGGTTTTATCCAGCAGATAGGGCAAAGTACTAAAGGGTTCGAATTAAGTAAATTACATGATCTGATTTTACTTTTAAAAAATTGATTTGGCTGCTCTGTGGGGAGGGAAGGGGGATCAGAAACAAGACGTAGAGACAAGACCAGTTGCTAAGGTGTTGGAGTAGTTTTGGTCAAGAGATAGGGTAGTGGCAGTGAAGAAGAGAGATATATTTATGAGTATAATCAATAGGATTTCCTGACTGCATGAGGGGGCCTTAGGAAGTTGGAAGAGTCATGGTTAATAACAGGTTTTCAGCACTCCTTCATATGGTGATTATGAATTTATATATCTTCCTTTTTCCTTAGACTGGATGTTTTTCTATGCAATGATGGATGCTGTATGCATTTTTCTATACCTAGTATCTGGCATAGTGTCAGCTGCAGAGTAGGGGCCCCATAACAACATGTTGAATAGCTGATAGTTCAAGAAACAAATAGGATAAAGTTTAGAAGAGAAAGATGTAATATATTTTTACTGAGAAACAAAATGTGAAACATAAGATAGTAAATTATGTTTCTGTAATCCAAAGAAATAACATTATATAAATATATTAATCCAACTTTTTATATACCTTAGTAGTTATATTTTATATATTTGAGACTTCATAACATGTTCTTTTGGTTTCTGGCTTAAAATTACTGATTTTATTTAGTATTGAATTTGTTCTGATTTCTTGTTTTAAGGGAAATCCAGTTTAATTCACAAATTTTGCTTAGCCTAAAAGAGTCTAAAAGTATCATCTATTTTTAGAGAGTTATATGCAATTAATTTTTTAATTGCATCTTCTTTGCAGAGTGATGAAAGAAAAGACAAAACCTCAAGGTGGAGAAGGAAAAGGTACTCAGTCAACTCCAATTCAGCATTCCTTTCTCACTGATGTCTCAGACGTTCAGGAGATGGAGAGGGGGCTTCTCAGCCTTTTGAATGATTTCCACTCTGGAAAACTTCAAGCATTCGGTAAGCAATAGATGTTTGTATTTACCATTTTTCTTTTCAAGATGTTTACATCCTATTTTCTGCGTGTATTTTGCTATTCCTTTTAAAGGTGTCATTTTCTTTTGTTAAAAAAAAGTCAAGAGGCATAAAATACAATCATCTTAGATTTCATTTAGCAATTAAGTTGTCTTGTACTATTGTGTATACAATTGAAAATATTACATTGTGATTCTCATGCTTTATAACACTACATGTTTCATAAATATTTTCATATATATTTCTTAAAGGGTGAATACATAATTGGTTGGCAGAATGATTCATGGTTTAAGTCCTTAATATGACTCTTAATTTCACTCAGATTATCATAAAATGTTGGATCAGTTGATTTAAATGACAGTTGTCAAACTGGAGATGATTTGATGATGCTATTGCTTTTGTATATGATATTAGTATTGAAAAAATATATCTTTATCCAAAGGATAATTTTTTAAAAAATCTTTATTTGTTTAGTCATTTCTTAGATCATCATTGTTTTCCTGGTCAGAAATTTGATTTGTAATTATATCTAGAAAATATGCAATCATTAACAAAGTAATTTACAAAAGAAGATAACCAATTTCTTTTGCAGCACCTTAGAGTTTAAAAGTATTTTCTAGAGACAATTAGTTTGAACTGTCCTAATCTTTATTAATGTTCTGGAATGTTCCCCTAGGAAATGAATGTTCCATCGAACAGATGGAACATGTTCGGGGAATGCAGGAGAAATTAGCTCGCTTGAATTTGGAGCTCTATGGGGAGTTAGAGGAACTTCCTGAGGATAAGAGAAAAACAGCTAGTGACTCTAATCTGGATAGGCTTCTGTCTGATGTGAGTATAGTTCTTTTACTTTATTCTTTTCTTAATAAATGTTTTTATTGAGATAAAATTCACTATTTTAACTATTTTAAAATATACAATTCAGTGGTTTTTTTGTGTATTCACAGTGTTGTGCAGACATCACCACTGTCTAATTACTCAACATTTTCATCACTCCAAAGGAAACCTTACAACTCTCAGTTCTCCCCTCTCCCCGTCCCCTAGCAACCATTAATCTACTTTCTGTCTCTGTGGATTTGCCTATTCTGGACATTTCATATAAGTGGAATCATATAATATGTTGCTTTTTGTCTGGATTCTTTCACTTAGTGTAATGTCTTCAGATTTCACTCATGTCATACTTGACTTTTTTTTTTTTAAAGATATAGATTCCAAAAGAAATTGTGCATATATTTTGAGAATGCTGACAAATCTTAAAGCAAAATATTAGCTTCTGTACATATATAAGATTTTAAGATGTAGAAGATAATATGTCAGAAAATCCTGACATTATTAATACACATTGCATTATTTTCTCAGGGTGGCTATTTATTTTTAAATACAGAACTGTGTTTGATGTTTATGGTAATTTAATATATCTCCATGTGTACTAGCTTGCTAGAGCTGCCACAACGAAGTACCATACCATAGACTGGATGGCTTAAACAGCAGAAACTTATTTTCACACAATTCTGGAGGTTCAAAGTGGAAGATGAGGTGTTGGCAGGGTTGGGTTTTTCTGAGGCCTCTCTCCTTGGCTTGCAGATGGCCATCTTCGTGTTCACATGGCATTTTCCCTCTGTGCATGTGTGTCTTGTGTCCAAATTTCCTCTCCTTGTAAGGACACCAGTCGTATTGGATTAGGGCCTACCGTAATAACCTCATTTTAACTTAATTACCTCTTTAAAGACCCTATCTCCAAATATGTTCACGTTCTGAGGTACTAGGGGTTAGGACTAAAACATGAATTTTAGGAGGACATAATTGAGCTCATAACACCTATGATTTTTATACTTAGAAGTGTTAATTAAATTTGCCCCTTTAAAATCTTTTTTGGAACAAAAATAAATAAAAATTGAATTCAATTTACTTTAGAAGTTTCCATATTCACATTCCAATGACATTCTATTGCTTTTTCTCTGTCTTTTGAGTAAGTAAATATGAGGGGAATTATATGCCTGTACTTTAAAATTTTCAAGTATATACTTTTTATTTCAAGTCTACTGTGTTTAGTGTTGCAACTATTTGCTTTTACTAGTTCCTCTTAACAAATATAAGCTTAATTTATAATACATTTAGGAGAGTGACTGTGGTATGGTAAAAATAACACCAAATTTGTTTAGTCCAGGGTCTGCATTTGTAACTTTGAGCAATTTATCATTTCTGTAACTCAGATTTTTCTTTCTAGGGGTGATTATTTCTACCTCATACTGAAAACTGAATGTGACATGAAATCTTTTTGTAATCTATAAAGGTTTTAAAGATTTTGATCATTAAAATACCAACTTTTTTCTTTTAAAAACTATTACAGATGATTATGTGATTTTAAGAATACTTATAAAACTTCAATTTTTGTCATCTGGTTTAATTCTCTTATATTCTTGTTTAATAAATGCTAAAGCTACTTTATAATTATTTTGCATAAGTGAATTTCTCAGCCTGGAAATTTTTGAAAAGTTATTTTTTTAATATTTTCCTTTTTTATTTAAAGAAAGCTTAACTGAAAAATTATTTTAAAATGTATAGTTAACACTTATGATTTTTATCTTATAAAAATTAAATATTTCTTTGTGTTACAGTTAGAAGAATTAAATTCTTCAATGTATCCTTTGCCTAATATCAACAGTGAAAAGTCTGCAAATTATAATTTCTGGTGAATAGTTCCAGCCTTAGATGTAGTGAGCAGACACCTAGTATTATTTACTGGGGCCATATCTCTTCCCCTTTGGTTTCCAAATGGAATTTTCTGATTGTTTTGTATGCTGAAATTCTGTTTGTTTCTAGTTTGTTCTGCTTTGCTTTGTATTGGCTTTATATTGTTAAAACATTAAAAAAAATTTTTTTAATCAAAAGAATTGAAGATTAGGCCAATTGTCATATAAATTACTTTGAATCTTAGATTCTGAGGCTAAATGTCAGTTGAATATCCAGACATACTATGCTTCATTTAATATTATTACATAGGATATTTTAAATGGATAAAATTGAAAATTAGACATCACTAAAATTTAGTCTTCAAGGGATCCTTACATAGCTTGTGAAATGCCATTTTTATAATTCAGTGTACAGAATATAATATAGGATTAGATTAAAGGAAATCACCAAGACATATGTAAAATATTCAGATTCTGACATTTCAATTTAGAGCAGTTATTTCAGAAACTTCAAAATTTTTTTTTTTACATAACGATATGTACAATGTGAGGTACATAAGAACAATAAGAAATGATTCTGCCTGTAAGATAATTTCTTTTAAGAGGTAAGCCATCCCCTTTGGACCAAATAATGAGATACTAGAAAGGATACTGCTTGTAGAGTCAAGAGATTTGATTTTCAAAAATTGGTTCCACATTTTGATAATGTAATCTTGGGCAAATTGATTAATATTTCAGTGTCCTCTGTAATATGGAATAATTGTTACATATAATGATGCGTATGTGAAATTTTCGAAACTACATTATAAATTACTGTTATTACTGTAACACAGTTATTAATTGCTGAATTACGCAGTAACAACAATGAATAGGGAGATATATACAAATCTAGTAATAGCAATAGCTAATCTTTATTGAATGCTTATAGTTTGCCAAGTATTATATGAAGGATTTAACACACACTATCTCATTTGGGCCTACTCTTGGAAGTAGGCAATATTATATACCCATATTACAGAAGATTTTGAGAAGCCACATAAACTGTGGGGAGATATTAATGTAAGATATCAATGTCATCATCATTTAAGAAAGACCTAAATACAGAGGTAAGATAAGAGTTAATTAGGGGGCTTTTCTTGGAAGAAGTTCCTGGTTTTTTGTTCTTTATATCTGTTCCAAGCTTTATATTCTTTCTAAGCGTATGACACTTACGTATCTCCTATCCTCTTACCTGAGTGTTTTTTGTCAAAACATTTAGACTTCTTTGTCTCACCACTGTCCTCGATCCAGCGACCACAGTTAAATAAGACAACGTGGTAGCGTATAAGAGCGTGGGCTTTGGATCGCTTGGTTTCAGATCTTGGTAAGCAGCTGTGCAACCTTGAGCAAAGCCTGGCTGCCCTAGTTTCCTCATCTGTAATAACTGTTCTCTCTGTACTCAAACTTTCCTCTCCTGTCATCAGTGCCTCAGTTATTTCAGTCTCCAAGATTATTTAAAAATTCCTCTATGACCGTAGCAGATATTGCTAATCACGCATGGTACCTTCTGCCATTGAACCTGGACATGGACATGAAGTTATTTGCCAATTACTGTTAGTTGTCAGGCATCATTAGTTCTGCCTTTTATTTTTCCTTTATTCTCTATCCTCCTCATCTGATTCAATAACCTTCAAGTTTCTATTCCAACTCTAGAGCTGTACCTTCCAATGTGGCAGCCACTCGCCATGTAGCTACTAAGCACATGAAATGTGAATAATCTGGATTAAAAAGTACTGTAAGTATAACATGCACACTTGATTTCAAAGATTTAATATAAAAAAAAAGAATATAAAGTGTCTCGGTTTTTTATAATCATTACATGTTGAAATAATTTTTGATATATTAGTGTAAATAAATATTTTTTAAAATGATGTCTGTGGCTTGCATTATATTTCTATTGGACAGTGCTGCTGTAGACTTCAGATATTGCCACTAAGTTATTCTTCCTAAAACATCACTTTCATCTTGCCATTCCTATTTTTACCTTTTTTTTTTTTCCCCTACCATGTCAGACTTTCTAAAGGGTCTTAATAATTTGATCATAAGCTGTACATCCTGTTACATTTTATAATCCCACCAAGTTCTCTGGAAGTCCAGGAGCACATCATGTTCATGTTCACCTTATGCCTTTATCCAGGTTGTACTTCCTACTAGAGTTGCTCTCCTCCTTCTCCTTATCAAATAATGCTGAAGCTGACCACCTCCCTGAAGCACTTTGTATCTCAGACTATCTTTCTGCCTTTTTTCATTACCTGTTCATTTGTAGATGTGTGTTAAACTCAGCCTTCCAACTGGACGAGAATGGCATGCTTATGTCTATATATTTTTGCAACCTCTTCCATACATGTATTGCTAGCATTTAATTTTCAATGTATCCATATTGTTTGTGGTCTTGAAAAATAGCACGTAAATCATATAGATGAAAGAGGTAAATGAAAGGCAATGATAATAAGAGACTAATAAGTACAGGAATCCAACCTATTTCCAATCTTCTTAAAGAATAATTTAGAGAATTACAGGAAAAGTTTAAGAGCTATGAAAATTTTATTTTATTTTTGACTTTTACTAAGAAATTGTTTTCCCAAGGATGATAAAGTGCTGTTGTCTTTTCAAATCAATTTTTTTAATCCAGTAAATTTTTATATTTGCTTCTAATCAGCTCCTTACCCATGAAAATGATTCTTACTACTTTAAAATAATTCTGTGCTCTGTTAGAACCTGGAACATAGGCTTGATTCAGTGATTTTCTAAAGTCTTCAAATTCTAGGCGTAGTATAATTACTTCACCACGATTAAAAATTTTACCACTTTCAAGTTTCTTAATAGCAACATAGGCACTTTCCCTTTAAACATCTTTCTTTCTTTTTTTGATACCTCTGTCTCTTAGCTCCTGGGTGTGATTTCTAGAAATTTAAATGATGTACTTATTATAGAATGAAAGTCTTCTTAACTGATGAATTCAGACAAAAACTCCATTTGGCAGATGCACAAGATGTTCCAAATACTTCGGCCAGCTAAAATGAAATGCAGTTGCTTTCTTGTGGTTTGAAGAAAAGCAGCAATCTTTACTTTTCCAGCTGAATCCAGTAGCAGAAGCATCTTCCACAATAAGGAATTAAAGTAATTAAAGTGCAAGTGCAATGATTGTTTTCACCTCCTGCTTTTAGTAAATTTGATTTGCCGTCATTCACCATAACTGGAGGCCTAGGCCTTGTTGAAGGCTTAATCAAGAAATGTGATACAGAGATTGTGCTGCTATGCTTTATATTGTTGCCTTATGGGGTTATACTTGAAATGAATTGTGCTAAATGTTGTTGATAGGGCTGAAGGATTTATCCTTCCTGAGCTCACCAAACTTACTCCACTTCGGATCCTAAGTTGATGACGCACAGGCTTTTTGTGGCAGCCCAGCTTCAGTTTACGTTAGACGATCAGTACACATGCTGGTGTGTTTTCCAATGGCCAGTGACAACAAAATGTTAAATGAGTATTTGTGAAATTTGCTATTTTTAATAAAGTGATTGTTTTAAATTAGTTTCTTATCGTCTGTTTTTAAGAAACCTGTAATCTTCAATCTGATAATATGAGTTCAATTCTCAAGAGGAAGCCGTTCACAAAATTTGAGGTTCTGTGACTTTCTTGCAAATGTGAGTTAGAAGAATTTTGATCAATTTATCTAAACGGTCTTTTTAATACCATACCCTCTTAAAAATGAGGACATCATTAGAACATTAAATGCTACCTGGGAAATGTTTCTGTTGGGTGGAGAGAGCAGATTCAAGATGGAAAAATAGCACTCTAGGCTCTGACAAAATAAAAGGACACTTTGCCATGTGACATGTTTTTCTTGGATGGTTCCTGAGACAGTAAAACAAAAGCTGTTTCCTGTGGATTAGTGACAGCAGCAGGTTGGCCTTGTTTATTCATTCGGCCTTTGTGTCAAGGGACCCCATGTGGGTCCCAGGCAACAAAATTTTAGCTTACCTAATTTGTATCCTTTCTTACAGCGTAAATACTTAAAGGCAAAAGAAAAAAACGAGATGCCTGGTTTACAATAAATTTATTACATAGATGTATATTCCTTGTGGACAAAACGTTGCAGATGATTTTTAAAAATACTACCAGAGCAAACCATTTAACATTGTTTTGTTTTGTTTTGCGTACGTACTTCCAGACTTCTTAAACTTGTTTATTTACAAAAATTAGATCATACCAGTCATAGTTTTCTAACCTCATATTGTGAACATCTTTCCATGGCAATTAACTGTTCATTTACATAGAAAAGAAAAAAAATTTAAAGGCTTTACAATAACTACCTAAAGGCATTTTAACCAAAACCATTATGAAATCAATTAGGAAGAGCGATTTTGTTTTTTTGGTTTGCTTTGGTTTGATTTTGGTACCTCCTGCATGATGCTAAAATTGGCAATAATTAGTATTAAAATATTCCGAGCATTTGCTGAAGATAAGAAAACCTACCTTTCCCACCTCATGCCCTTAAAAATTGCTGACTTTCTTTGAGACCAAGCAAATGTTGGCTTTGGTGTCCAGGTCTCCTCCTGGGGTCCTGCAGCCTGGCATCTGAGTCTGGCTTCTGGGAACTCAGGCCAGAAAGACCCAGTGGCCGCGCGGGTCCCAACCTGCACCCTGGCCCTAGCGTTGAGGCTGGTGAACTGCGTACCGGGAGGGCGGGGCGCTGGGTCCTGTTGTGGGGTCGCTATGGAGCCGGCGCACTGCTGTCCTCCACCCCCGCCACCCTGGGCTGCGGCCACAAGTCTTGCTCCCGCTTTTCTACAAGGTCCAAAGAGGAGACAGCCGTTTGGAGGCGGGTCTCGGCCACGGTTTGGAGGTGGGTCTCGGCCACGGTTTGGAGGTAAAGCCCTTGGCTTGGGGCCGCGCATCTCTTGCTTGGGACCCCACGGGAACAGCGCCCGGGTCGGTGTAACTTACCCAGGCAGCCTTGGGACGACTATAAGCAGCAGTGAGAATGGACGCTGGGCTCCTCCTTGGAGAACCTGAGCAACTTCGTAATTATCCAAAAGACTGAAGTGGCCTGGAGAGAAATGAAAAAAATCTCTGCGTAGGGGCGGGCTTGTTTTCGGCTGTGACACAAATTCTTGTCTCCTCCGGAGCACTCATTTGGGATAGAGATAGGGAGGTACCCTTCTCCCCGCACCCTGCTCCCCACGTTTTGGTCTTCACGATAGGAAAGAGGGTGAGAACTGGCCGATAGAGTTTGTCGGTGTAAGCCAGTGCGGAGTCCTATGAAAATCAGCGTTTTCCACAGTGCCTCAAAACTTGACTTCCTTTCTATTCCAAATGAGTACCCTGGAGGAGGTAAGTCTTCACTTGGCACAGCCTGACTCAAACCTGACCCTACACAGGGATTGTTTTGTTTCTCCCCAGGCCACTTCAGTCTTTTAGGTAACTATGAAGCTGCTCGGGTTCTCCAAGGTCATGGACTGGAGGCGTGCCCAGTGCCCTGCCTGGGAGGCTAGTGAAGGGGAAACACGAAGAATCTACTACAAACACTGTTCATGGTTATGATTGTATAGCTGAATTAACATGCTAAGTTTTGATGAATAGGACAAGTAATTAAACCTTGGTACTTATAATATTTACCTTTTTAAAAGTACTTACACTGTGCTTATGAATAAATCTTGCCATAATATCAGAACCGAATATCCTGACATTATCTGTACTAAAGTTCAGCACAACTCGGGCATTTGTTTTCAGGCCCATCTTGACATTTGTGCACCTCAGGAATCTCAAAAATCATGCTCTATTATTTCAGTGGGAGAAGGTAGGTGTTAGGGACTCGAAAGTTTTAGAGCAACATAACTAGTTATTTTTCCTGAATGAATTTAAATAGTACAGTTGCTTCTTGTTATAGCTTTAATTTTATAGCTTTAACCTGAGCAACTGCAACATTTGATTATGTCCAGCGTTGGCTCCCAACTCTGGCGTTTCCTATAACCTCCTGTGCTATCAGCAGCACAGCTTTTCTCAAAGTATGCCATCACTTTCATTATCCATTATTTGTGCACTTAATAAAAATTATACACTTGTTTATATTCAAAATAAGTCATGATTTTAATACCCTCAATATAGGGCTTTTGATTTAATTGGAATGGCCTTTCACTTCTGTTTCCGGTTTTTTGTTTTTTGGTTTTTTTTTCACTATTTGCACATACTTTTCTTGCACTCTGTTTTCTGTGATCTTTAGAACCCGAAAATCTCTTGGGAGGCATATTTTAGGGGCCGAATTTTTTTCCCCTCACTCCTAGTAGTTTATTCCTTATTCATGCTTTAGGAGGAAGACTTGCTGTAAATTCGTTCCAATGCATAGAATCTAAAAGTTTCTCGAGGAAGAAATGCCAGGTGCATCTTTCTAAAGACATTAGAAAATATTGGTGACTGCCATATTGTAAACATAGTTCACAGTAAGTATTCTTGCCCTTGAGTGAATTCTCATCTCAAATAAATACCCTAAAATACTTCCCTTTCTTCAAATTCGCTCATGTCATGAAAGAAAAATCTGTCAGATCTACCTATTAATTCAATTCTAAGCTTATTCTACCATGTAACTCATTTAACATAATGATGGAAATTACTCATAGGATCACTCACATAAGTTGATAAATTGTCACAGTTGTGACACAGTTGTCAAATTCTAATAATCAGTGAAGGAACTTGGCTTTTTCTTAGCTAGTAACTTGCTTTTCCGCCCTAGAATTTGGATATTTTGTACATGTGAACAATTATTCATTTACTCGCTCAGCAAATATATGCCAAATAACTACTTGTTGGAAGACACAAATGGAGTAGGCAATTTCTAAAATGGCTTCCAGTGACCCAGGTTCCTGGTACTCATGTCCTTGTGAATCCGTCCCCTAGAGTGTGGGCTGGGCTTGCTTCCAGGGCAAAGGTGCCAAACTTTTTCTGTAAAGGGCCAGGTACTAAATATTTTTGGCTTTGTGGGCCATATGGGCTCTCTCTCAATTACTCAGTTCTGCTGTTGCAGTATAAAAGCGACCATAGACAATATGTAAATACATGTGATTAGCTGTATTTCAATAAAACTGTTTACAAAAATCAGTGGCATGCAATTATGGCCTGCTGACCATGTTTACTGACCCCTTTTATGACTAATCAAAAAGTGGTGGTGTGTCACTCCCGATTACACTGCACAAAGACTCTGGCTTCTATCCTGCCTGCCCTCTCTTACTCTCTTGCTTGCTCACTTGACCAAATGCCATTTTATGAGCTAAGCTACGGACAAGCCCACAAGGGAGGGGAGCCCCCAGCCAACAGCCAGCAAGGAACTGAGGCTCTTGTTCCAACAGTCTGTGAGGAACTGAATCTTGCCAACAACTACTTACATGAGCTTGGAATTGGATCATTCCCCAGTCCAGCTTTGGGATAACTACAGTCCCAGCTGATACTTGGATTGTGAGAGACTCTGAGCCAGAGGACCCAGAGAAGCCATGGCTTGATTCCTGACTGAAACTGTGAGATGATTAAGTTTGCTTTTTTAAGCCACTAAGTTTTGGGACTGTTTGTTACACAGCATTAAATAACCACATTAGACAACTAATACACACTACAAAAGGCTCCTATAACAATGAACAAGGGAAATGCTGCATACTAGTGTTCCTCCTCTTGGAGAGTCACTGTGAACATCAGCATTTTAAAGTTTCTAAGACATCCTACAAAGACATTTAATTTTGTTCAATTAAGAATTTCCCAAGCATGTTTAACCGTGGATCTTAATTTTCTGGGAAATACCTATTAATATCTTATGGAGCTACTATTTTGAGAAATAGAAAATGCTGAAATATGAAGTCATTCCACTTAAAGAAGTAGTGATCGCCAGCGTGCCATTTCTCCCTAGATTGAATAATTAGCAAAGCTGACAGCTCAGAGAATAACATAATTCTGTGGAAAGTTATATCTCTATCTGTATTTATATTTATATTTATTTCTACTTATAGCTATCTATATCTATATCTATCTATATCTATATCTGATGTACTCTACTCACATATTTAAGCCCACCAGCAGACAGAGCGCCTATTCCTTCTGTAACATTCCACTCATTATGTAACTCAGTAATCCCTTAACACAGAGGATCATAACAATTTTGAGAAGTTGCTAAATAAAAATCCCTTATGTTGGCTCTTGGAGGAATTTCACATAACAACAGCTGGGCATCTTATGAAATTAAGGATTTGCTTTGATTGAAAGTTGATTCAGAAGAAGGTATTTAATTTTCCACCTTGCCATGAGGTTTTTATCCAGACAACACATTATTATACTATAGTTCGCAAAGACACATCACTGCCTTGTTTTACACATGAAGAAACTGAGGCTTAGAGACTAAGTTACCTATAAAACTTCAATTTGTGTGTGTGGGGGGGTGTATTTCAGAGCAGGGATCCAAATTCGGTGCTGTCATGCTGCCCTTGTAATATTTCTAAAATTGTTTCTAATAGGGTACATGCCTTTCCAACATATTCATTTTTAAATGTGCTT